CCAGGGCTCCCATGGGACAGGCAAGGTGTCAGCCTGGTGAGTCACAGGCAGAGCTGCCATCTCTGGCTGCTGGGGTCCCATACACAGCAGCCATGCAGAGGATTGGCGGGGGGACATGAGGGTTGGTGCCATGGTACAGGTCTCAGAAATCATCACAGTTGGAAGGGATGCAGAGATCATCAAGTCTGACTCTTTCAGTGAACTGATGAAAAAAAAACAAGTTACTGGAAGATCAAAAATTAAGAAATCTGTAATATGAATTTTAGTCATTTTTGTGAGTTTTCTTAACATTCTTTGCTGTCTTCATCTCTTTATCATCATTGTGACTTGCTGCTATTTACCATCAAAAAATGCTAGAATTAAGACTCATTGGTTCTTTCAGTGCTAGTAAATAGGCTCAGTCTTTCAGTACTAGTAAATAGGCTGTTGTGCATGAGAGACTGAGGACTGAAGACATTCTTAATTTATGTAATACTTATTGTTATGAACAAGTTCATTAGTTGAAGATTAGACCCCCATTGATGTCTCCCTCCATGTTGTGCCCCCCTTCACTATACCTGTCATCCCTGTTGCGTGTCTCCCTTATATCCCTCCATGTTGTGCCCCTGTTGTGACTATCGGGTATTGCCTCCGCTGCTCCACAAGATGGCGACCAGAGCACTTCTGGGGATATGCAAATTAAGGACAGTGATCAAAAACTCCAAAAAACCCCTGAAGACAACGAGCCAACTTAAGACCTAAACAACAAACTGACTTTGATGATCGGGAAGGAATCCTTCTATCCTACCAGCACTACAAATCGTATCCGAAGCGTCACCATAACCGCAGTAGAGCCAACCCAGAGTAAAACCCCTAGCCAACGAGCCCCAGTTCTGCTGCACAGCAAAACTGATCTACCTCCTCCTCTGTGTCACCAAAGGGAGCAGCGGCGGTGTGCGCGATCCCTCGGGCCCCCACCCAGAGCCGGTCACTCCAATAAAGGCGTTCCAAAGGAGCGGGTCTCCTTACCCGTTCATTTCACTTATATTAAAGCAGTCCTCAGTCATGTGTTTGAATTGATTGTTAGAATTATCTTGTTTTAGGATCTCTGCAATCAAGCACCTCAGCTTTTGCTCTTTTAATTCTGATGGACAGCATAGAAAATGGCTGCACAATTTTTCTGGTCAAATAGAAACAGCATGTTTTCCCAAGACAAAGAAGGAAATGAATGTGTCCGAGATGACAAAAAAATGGGTGCATACACACAAGCTAGGATCAGACTAGGACTAACAGGCTTAATTCGTTGCAAAAAGTACATACATGTCCTGAAGTTGCCCTGAAGTTGCTCCTGACTTGCCCTAGCAAGATGGGGGCTGGGAGCATACTGACATTAATGAATAATTTACTAGATTTAGCCCGTGGCTGCTTTCATGGTTCTCAGGAATGAAGGAAGGCATCAGGAAAACGTTATAAAATAACCTTTGAGCTACATAGATGATTAAAGGCCTGGAGCACTTTTGTAGAGATAGGCTGAAGGATTTGGGATCATTCAGCATGGAGAAGGCTCCAGTGGGACTTTACAGCACCTTCCAGTACCTGAAGAGGACCTACAAGAGAGATAGAGAGACTTTTTACAGGGGCAGGTAGTGACAGGACAAGGTGGGATGGCTTTAAACTGAAAGAGGGCAGGTTTAGATTAGATATTGGGAAGAAATTCTTTACTGTGGCAGTGGTGAGACAATGGAAAAGTTGTCCAGAGAAGTTGTGGATGCTCCATCCCTGGCAGTGTTTAAGACCAGGCTGGCCTTGTGGGGCTTGTGATCAACCAAGTCTAATGAAAGCTGTCCCTGCCCAGACCAGGGGGGTTGGAACTAGATGATGCTGAAGGCCCTTCCAACTCAAAGCATTCTGTGATTCTGAAACTGTTCTGGTGAGTCATACCAAGCTCACAGGCCATAAATTTAGCACATAGGGATAGAGGTATTGTCAAGATATGCTTCCCTCATGCCTCATTTTAAGTAACCCTTTTTATTGCATTACCTTTGGTTTTCCTGGGCTGTTCCCCCAGGGAAGTCACCTTGGATATGGTGTCATGAACATGTTATCCACTGTATAATAATAAAGACATGCACAAAGAATTTTAATTTTCTAAGTATTTTATTTATGCAAATATGTATTGAAATCGACCATGATATTTCGTTTACAATGTCAACTAAATTTAGGAAATTATTTGAAAGATATTATTTCTCTTAAAGCAAAAGTTAATGCATTCCAGTAAAACTAAGCCCACATTGTATAATTTAGACAGAGTTACATATAAATCCTTTTCCATGCCCATATAGAGCAAGAAGAGTCTGCAACAGTAAGATTCCTCTGCAAATCCAATTTAAGGCAAGGCCACATGACAAAGCCTGTGAGGTTAAAAAAAAAAAAAAAAAGGGACAGCAGGACCATTAAATCCAATATGGACTGGAAGGAGTCTTTGAACCATTGTATGTTCAATTTCCAATATTTCATTGTTCGCTAATTTCCCTATAATTCCCACTTTTCCCCATAGTATCTTCCAGGATTTCAACAGTATTCTCTCAGCTTTTTGCTCTTCACTATGTTTTTTTTTTTCTTTTCATATCTCCTGTTTAGTTCATATACCAAATCATCCCTTTTCTACACTAAATTCCCCACTGATTGTAATAATCTATTAATAGTAATATATTAATTCTGCATTTTCTTCAAACAAAATGTCCATAGTAGAAATTATAAAATCACAAAAAAACCCTTGACATTTCTCTGGGTGTCATCTATCATTATCCAGCTTATTTGGTTTGCATTTTACATGTTTTTGCCATTACACTTTCACTTGGCTGCAGTGCAAGAACCATCTTTTACACCGATTTTATGCAGCACAGCTTCAGCAAAAACTGTATAAATAAATGTAGCATAGAGTTGTCTATGTGAGCACAAATTTAGTTACAAAGAAGTAAATATAAAGCAACTCTTCAATTTCAATATAAAACAGCTCAAGAATAGTGTGCAGTCTGGGTTTTTTTCAGGAGACAAGTTTGACTCACTAAATGCAAAAGTTAGAACAATCATATTCCATTACCTGCTAAAAGAATAAAAGCTGACAAATAGGACCTAGAGAGTGTACAAAGAACTTCATTCAAATCTCTACAAAGCTATACAAAATGTTTATTTCCCTTTAAAAGTATTTTAAAGCTAGTCATGAACTGTCTGAGTAAGAGAATGGGATTATACTAATTTAACAGTTACTTGGCTATGCCCATTTTCTCCCATATGGATTTTCTACTAATGGATTGATGGAGTAAATTGTTTTCATTGTCTCAGTCTAGACAGCAGTTAGATTAGGATCAAAAAGATGCCATCTCTCATTTGGTCATATGTCTGTCAGACATGCAGACACCACTTAGCTAACTGCGGTGTACAGAGGGGGAAATGCTGTGGAAAAGAAATTTTCTGCATTCAGTGAATAATTGTCCCTGTTTATTCAATACAGATGTCTAGAACTTGTTAGTTCTCCCATCATTGGAGGGGTGGGGGGGGGGGAAGTGAAATAGTCTTAATATAGCAAAATCCTTCAGTAAAATGTGAGAAGGAAAAAAAGCATCTACTGTAGGCCAGAGTCAGATATTTTAAAATTCTAATGTGAGCTATTGCATATACTCTCAGGCCTTCACCTGTTTCTCAGCCTGTGATATGGAAGATGGCTTTTGCAAAGGGCTGGACAACTCTGGAGGTTATTTGATGAATCCAACAAGCTATTCCCACAAAGCATTAAGTGAACAGCACATCTTCACCAGACCAGGTATGGCCCAGTGTGGAAGGTAATGAGTAGGAGATCATGTATCTACATCCATGTAAGTACAAGCACACGTGCACACATGCACAGAGCAGCCCAAAAGTGAAGCAACTTCAGTGTCTGCAGCTTACAGACATTATTCAAAGAGATGATAGAACCAATCATTAGACAAAAAGTCTTAAAACACTTATTTCAGAGGAACTGGATGGTCCCTAGAAAGAATCCACCCTTTTCTGACAAAATCTCAAAACATTCGCATGTACAGCTGAGGAAAGTAATTCTAGTATAGGGAGACAGAATGAGTTTACACTACAGGAATCAAAATTGAAATGGGATAGATCACAGAATCAGAGAGTAGCTGAGGTTGGCAGGGACCTCTGTAAGTCATTTGGTTCAAACCCTCTGCTCAGGCAGGACCATTTAGAGATGGTTACTCAGGGCCATGTCCATGTGGCTTACAAGTATCCCAGAGATGGGAGACTGGTGGGCAGCACCCGAGTCATGCTTGCAGTGAAGAAGTGTTTTCTCACATTCTAAGAGAATCTCCTGTGTTTCACTTTATGGCCATTCCCTTTTGTCCTGCCACTGGGCACCACTGGCAAGAGCCCAGCTTTGGTCTATTTGCAGCCCCTTTCAGGTATTTACACACGTTAGTAAGGTTCCCCTGAGCCTTGGTCTTTTCCAGGCTGAACAACCCCAGACCTGCTTTAATTGAAGTTTTTAAACAAGCAGGACTACTTGCCCTACCAGGACCTGCAGATCTGCATTGACAGAAAACACACCATAGCTGAAGATAGGAAAGCCTGTAACAGGTTTGAGAGGAATGACACCGACATTGAAGTGAGCAAGTTTCGCCCCCGTGCTGAAGGCAGGCTGCTGACACAGCAGCAAGGCAGGGGGTGAGCTCTACGCAGGGCAGAGAGCTGCCAACATGCCAGGCGGCACACCTATTCCCGCTGGAGGGAGGGTGCGGCTTGCTCTTCCAAAGGAGCAGAGCATTGCTGAACTGAACGAGAGTCTCCCTGCTGGGGAGAGGCCGGGGATCCGTCACTGCGGCAGCGCCCCGCTCGCCTCCCTCACGCCTCCCCGCGCGGCGCGGCGCGGCGAGCCCCCGGAGCCGCCCGCGCCGCCGCCGCGGCCCCGCGCCTGCGCGCTGCGCAGAGCCCGGCGCTTCCCCTTCCGGCCGTGCCGCGGCTGTGTCAGCATGGCAGCGGCGCCCGGCCGGCGGCCGCGCTGCCTCCTCTGGGCGGCAGGTGATGGGCAGGCGGGGGGGAAGGCGGTGGGGATGGGAGGCGGGCAGCGCTGGGGCAGGCAGGAGTGTAGGCAAGCGCTGGGGGCGTGAGGGGCCAGCAGGGAAGGGAGCCTGTCAGCTGGCGTGGGTGAGCACCCCGCGTTGGCTCGGGCATCACTCACGGAACGCTTTTCCTTTCCCTCGCAGTGGTTGCACATGTGGTGGCGTCAGGTGCAGGTTTTGTGGAGGATCTAGATGAGTCGTAAGTATTGGGGTGTCTTGCTTGATTACCAAGATATAGTTTGTCTTCTTGTGAGGAACATGACTCCATACTTTCTGTGTGTTGTTCTTGTCGAGAAAGCTGTACCGGAAAAGATTGTGATTTTTGTAGCAGGAAGGACAGAAAAATTGTGGCTTGAAATACTACGGAATATTCTCTGTTGAAAGGGACCCACAAGGATCATTGATCATTCCTGCCCCTGCATAGCACTCCCAAAAAGTCACACCGTGTGCCCGTTGTCCAAACCCTTCTTGAGCTCTGTGATGCTGTGACCATTTCCCTGCGGAGCCTGTTCCAGAGCATAAGCACCCCTGGGTGTAAAACATTTTCCTGATATCCAACCTAAACCTCACCAACACAGCTTTATGCTGTTCCCTTGGGCCATGTCACTCGCCACCAGAGAGGAGATCAATTACTGCACCTCTTGAGGAAGTTGTAGACTCCCATGAGGTCTCTCCTCAGTCTCACCTATTGAGGCGGTTCAATTAATGAAGCTGAGGAACATTTTAATTTTTCAGCTTCTTGAAAGCAGTTACTGTGGTGGTGCTGCCAGAAATGTTTTTAGGCTTCCTTTCTTGTTTCTTTTTGGTAGGGTAAATACATTGGTGTGTTGGTGCCTGCCCCAGATAAAAGCTGATTACATTTAACCAGTTCTTCATTAGTGTTTGTGGCATGGCTGCCACATGGGGTTGGGAAAATGAATCTAAGTGCATTCGTGCATGGCTAGAAACGAAAGAGAGAAAGAGGCTGCAGTACTAGTTCATGGCTGCTTGCAGTGCCAGTAATATTTTTGTAAAAATGTGCCTTTACAACAGAGTTAGTCCTGAGACTGTGCAGGAGTTGAAGTGGGTAGTCATGCTATGAACTTGGTTGTATAGTCACTGTTGGTATACTGGTTTGCTGTAGCAGTTTGGTAGCTACATAGTTGCTGTTTCCCAAGAAAATTACCCAAATGAATGTTAGAATATCAAGTGCTACAAAGCAGCACGATTATTAGAATTGAAAGAGAAGGTATGAGAAATAATAGCTGGTGGGGAAAGAGAAGTTGGTATTAGATGACTGCTTTGGGATAAATTCAGCCAATTAAAGGTGATGTTTTCATGAGAGTTGAATCAATGATAAATTGCACCAAAGAGTGTCAGAAAACCACTCACATTTTTACAATATTGCTTGTTAATCATAAGATCAGATGAGATGTAGTGATTTTATTAGTGGGGGGGATGGGAACATATGGAAGGAGCTCTCAGGAGAGACAGCAGTGTCTGGTGTGAAAAAACAACTGAAACATGGGAACTGTTTGGACTTGATTTTCGAAGCTTGTTTTTAAAACATTCTCATATTTTCAAGGACTGCAGATGCATTCACTTAGCCTGTGTGTGCTCCTACATCATGTTCCCGTATCCATGTTTCCGTGTGTACTTAAATATATTTGCTGTTTTGGCATGAAGAATCATGATTCTGTTGTCACATAACCTTTTAGAGTAACTGATAAAATAAAATCTTATTTTAGAACACTTGAGTTTTTCAATTACAGATCTATACAGATGCATGTATTTGCAATTGAGAATACGAATTGAAGAATTATTTGGGGCAGGTTTTGTAGGGGTTTTTTTGAATTTTTTGTAGCTAATTGGCATATGGTGAGAGAGGTCAGAAAACAATCTAAATTTAATTGAAATTAAAATTTAAACAATTTAAATTTTAGTTTAATTTTGCTCCAAATCGGGGAGCAGTGACTGGTGATGTTTCAAGTTTTCCATTTTATAGATGCCAAAACGTTATGGATGTTCTACTGTTGCCAAAATCTTTGTGTTCCCTTGGAATTTTAGTAGTTGCAAACAATGTGGACTAGTACAAGGCACAGGTCCCTTTCCTAAGCATACAGGATATAGTAAAATAAGTAGCAGAGCAGAGCTGACAGAAGTGCCCATCTGGGCTGTGGGAGGGGGGCACAAAATGAGCTGTGGCTTCTCTTGGCTTTTGCTGCTCTGATAGCAGATCTGCTGCCTCAGGTCAGTACTCATCTTGTGATGGGTGTGGACTTGTTCTGATGTGCTAATGAAGCAGGTAAGTAACCTGACTTAAAAAGGAAGTGTTTTTGTCTGTGGGGTAGCTCAAACCAGGATCAGAAGCATCAGAAACGGTGCTGGAGGAAACAAGGAACAGATAGAGCAGCTGGGTTGTTTTAAGGCCCTTGGAGTTGTTTCCTTGATGTTCAGTTTTGCTTCATGCTGGTTTCTTTTAACTGTTCATATTTAAGTGGGGTGCTTGGTTTAAGTAGGGGCTGAGAGAACATTCAATCAGGTAGTTGGGAAGATGTTTGAGACAAATAAGTTTGGTTCAAGGATGTGCAACACTTACGCCATCTTTTCCATCAGTGTGATTGTGTTTCTGTCAGCTGATAGAGGATTGCACAGGACAGCTAAAAAGAGACTGAAATTTTGTGCCTGGAAAATGTATTTATAGGGCCTAGAAACAGCATCTTCAGAAAATGCTTCACTGCTCATTTGTAGAGAGGTTTCTGTTTTTCTTCAGCAGTGTGAAAGTGAACTTTCTTAATATTGTCTAGTAATTTAATCATTGACGTTAGCAAAACGAGTGAATTTTGATAGTCGGGGTTTTGTTACACTTCAGATTTTAGTTTCTGTGAAAATTGATCGAATAGGTCCTTGTAGATGAGAAATGCATTGAAATTTATTATTATGAAGACTACAGTATTTTTTTATACAACCTTAAGTCAAAATTATTAAACTGTTGGAAAGCTCAGCCTCCAGATGTTTCATTCTTTCTCTCTTTTCTTTCTGTGTGCTGGCAAGGTTGCAGTCTACCTTGCTCAGTACTTAAATGCTCTTTACAATTTGCCATAACAGTTGTACTGTGACAGAAGAAGGAGAACATTTAATTGTAAATTATTCTTACACAAAGAAAAAGTGATACTATAAATTGAAGCACAGCCTAGAAGCTTATGATTCAGTAGCTGCTTTCTACTTCTTGCATCATAGGCATTTATTTGGCATTATAATTGGAAGTTAGCTGTAGCTTTGTTAGAGTTCTCAGGAGATGCTGGGCGCTCACTGGTTCTTTCATTAGCTCTGTAATGCTTAGGGTGGTGGAGTATGTTTTTAGTGAGGCTGTCAGCTAAGCAGTTTTGTGACTTAAAACTGCTGCTTTCCTTTAGCAGTTCCATAGCATAGTCTCTGCAAATAACCTTTTCTGCTGCTGTACAGGCATTGCAGCCTTGGTATGCCATAAATAAAATAGGCTGCAATTTACCAGTGAAATGCTGCAATTCTAAGTTTCAAACACTCAACACTGTAATTAGATTGTATTCATGATTTCTGAATTATTTCTGTCATACAGTCAAACAGTAAGCCAATATCAGCATTACTATTTCTTCAAGACCATTATGGACTGTTACAGATTCACCTATAAATGAAATATAATAAATTCTGTCTACTGCTTATGGGCCGTTTATAGGCATGCTGTGTATTGGGAACTGACAAATTAGGCTATAACTTCTATTAATTGGATCTTAGAGTGTAGAGCCACATTTACTGCATAATTATAGTAAATACCTAATTTTGCAGGGAGAGTGGTGCAGTAGAAATGTTGTATCATGAATGTTATAGTGTGTGACTTTAGTCCCAGTCCTAGTCACTTAAGTCTGTCTTTTACAAAAATAAACCTTAGGTTAAAGTTCTAGCTAATTTCATTCTCTACATAGAGCTAGTTAACTAATGCAGTAATTCATATGATCTTGTAGTGACAGCAGTGAAATGTGTAAGCAGCATTTTGGGAGATACCAAAGAACTTTGATTTATCAAGCTTACTTTTGTATTAGAGGTTTTAGAATTCGGTGACAGATTTACAGTTAATAAAACCAGTCAGTTAATTTAAATGTCATTTGTCTAGCATTAAGAAAATTCAGTAGTACCTGTGTATCTCTGGGCTTTATCAGTAACTTGATCATTTTTATTCCATTAAGTTGGTTTCATGGTTCTGTGCAACTTTAATAGGACTATAAACTGACACACCTATAGTAGAATGTTAAAGGAGGTTGAACTAAAATTGCTTTGCATGTTAATATTAAAGGTAATTTAGTTAATTTAAGTTTAGTAAAGCTAAGATTAACAGTTTAAACCAATGCTGTAAGAGTCTGTATTAGCTGGTATTTAAAGATACAAGAGCAAATATTTTTCATATAACTGAGACAACTGAAAAATACTTCTCCCTAGATTCCACATGCTAGTCAAATATCTTCTGTGTATGTTGGTGTGTATTCTTATTTCTTGCTATTTTTTCTGTTTTGTTGTTTTTGTTTTGTTTTTTTTTTTCTTAAGAAATAGTTAGAGAAACCTAATGGCACATCTGTGTGTGTGTAGTATCATGTACAGGGGCAATATTACACTAAAAAATAAGCATCTCCTCTGTTTCCCCATTCTCAAAGAGAGAAACAAAACAGAAGTCTTCTATCTATAGTTTTATATTAACCTTATTGTAGACTTTTTCACACATGCATTTCACTATTTTATTTTCAGATACATAACTTATTGCTTTAATTTTTTCCTCTTTCTAGGTTTAAAGAAAACCGTAAAGATGATATTTGGCTTGTAGATGTGAGTATGTAAGGAAAACGGGAAGATCTCTGGCGGAAATCAATAGACAGACTGCACAATGCTACACCCTGTAGCCAGGCTGCTTCATCGCTTGGAAAATTGTTTGTACATGATGCAGAAAAACTTCATGGCAGTAATTTTGACAGGATAGATAAGCAATCTGTCTGCTGTTCAGGGTGAACCATGAATAAGCTGAATAGCCTGCTGAATAGGCTTCTGTTTATGTTTTGCAGTCCTTTAAGAAGGAAAGCAGATTACCTAACACACTTAGGAAGTGATAACCTCTGTTGAGAATTTTTTATAATTCCTTTCATTACTTATATCAGCTGATTTATGTTCTAGACTTCTGTTAGCACTGAAAGACCAAATATATGAGACTCCTGTTACTTTTCTAAATTACTTGGAAATATTCAGTGTCCCTTATTTCTGGGACAAAGAGTTTTTTAAAAGATCGAGTTTGCTTGTGAATGAGATAACATTCCTTTTTTCATCCAAATATGTACTGTAATTCTCAAAATTTTATTACTCAGATTATTAGTGATTTTTGAGTGGGTTACACGCTACTTGAGAGTTATCAGCAGTGTAGCAAAACAAAATCCAGCTTTTGTTAAATCATGACCTTATCTTGTTATACCAAAACATTGATATGTTCTGCCTGTTGATGAATTCAAACTTCTGGATAGCTTGTTTATATGATCTTTTAACTTTCAAAAAAAAGTGTTACCATGCAGTCTATTCCTAAATAAGAAATCATATAATAGTGCAGCAATTTAATGTATTCTTTTCAAACTTGTGCTTTCATATTAAAAGTAGGACTAAATCATAAATGCTACTTGTCATGCTAACCTTGTAACTAATCTGCAATTTTATTAAGGTATAAGGAGTACTGTGACTGGAAAATAAATCTTGCTGATGATTTAAGGGTTAATTGTAGAATCAATTTCTACTAAACTATTTTGTTTTGTGAAATGTATTTGCTTTTTAGTTTTATGCACCTTGGTGTGGCCACTGTAAGAAACTAGAGCCTGTGTGGAATGAAGTGGGTATAGAAATGAGAAACATGGGTTCTCCAGTAAAAGTTGGGAAGATGGATGCAACTTCCTTTTCTAGTAAGTATGGTTTGTTTAGGGGTAATTTCATCACAGCCTCTGTTTTGACGCTGTTATTTTTTTCTTGCAGTTGATCTTCTGTGTCATAGCACAACTTGCAAACAGTAACTGTAGAAAAAATTCCTGATTTTTTTTTTCTAAAAGTGACAACTTTCTGTAATATGTGCTTTTTATCACATTTGTTTATGCTTGAGTAGGGAATTCTTCCTGATGAATGGAAGGTAAAAGCTTTTCGAAGATCTGCTTTTGATATGCCACTTAGAGTACTGTTACATAAGCATTTTTATGTGGTGTGTCTCTGGAGAGCATCGAGTTTTAGGTTCCTTCTATTAGTGCTGGAGGAGTGCCTGTGTTCTTGCTCTTACTCATTTCAGGTAATCGCTCCTGAAACTGTTACAGAAAACCTGCTGAAATAACTGAACTCATTACATCAGTGATTGCTACTCAGCTGATTTCTTCCTATGTTTCTGAGTAAATGTCTTCTCAAAGAACTAAATTCAGTGCTTTCAGTGCTTTTTTGTTTGCTGATGCCTTTCATATGTGTTGACCTTTTCAGAGAAAACCCCAAACCTTTGGTACTCAGAGAAGTGGTTTGGGTAGACATGAGAGGATTGTTGAATGCTTAACAGTACTTCCTTTGTGTTTGTGTGCTTCTTCATTGTCAATTTGCTTAAATCTATGTTGAGCCAGGAGGATATTTAAAAGAGAAGGTGTAGGGAAGGAGTGGGGCCCAAATGAGATCTACATATAATAAAATTTTGTAAATACATGTAGTGTTTTAAGTCAATATCCATTAAATCTGATTATTCAGGTTTGTTGTATTTGCCTAAAATATTACACAGAATACTTTTCTCTGTGGTATTCCAGTTTTTCTAGTGCTTGAGATTAAAATGGTTTTGTCTCAAAGACCAATTTATTGTATATATCTTTTTCTATAAAACCAAATAAATATGACTTAATGTTTCATTTTAAAGATACTTATTTTCTGTAGAAAAGTAAGTCTGGAGAATCAGAAGTTTCAAGTTCATGCAACCAGGTAACTTCAAAACTGGGAATACATGTCATGATTCTCTAACTTTCCAGTTATGTATATAAAATTCTAAGTCATATAAACTGTATGAACTCTTACCCTGAAATATTTGTATGTGTCATCCTGTTACTGAAATCTTATGCTTTATACCTGGACCAGAATTGGTACTATGTTTTCGTTATAGACTTCATTTTTATTCATGTAAAAATCACTGAAAGCTGCAAGGGTTCTTTTGTGCCCTGGAAAAAAATTTCTTCTCAGATTTCTTACTAGTTTCATAGTGTCTGATAAATCTTTTGAAATACTTTAATACTTTCATGTTGAAAGTGGAATACATCTGAATATGAAAAATTCAAGACTACTCTGATTAATACCTCTGTAATCTAAGGATTCTGTGAAATCAGAGTAGTTCAGTCTTGAAAAATACCAGGAGGAAATACAGCTGTTATGTGTACGTGTTACGAGGGAGGAAGGTGAGTAGTTTGCTCCGCATGGTTTGTGTTATAGGAATATGAAGTAGTGTGAAAGAGCTGAACTTTGGGAAGCTTGTTGTCAGAGAGCTGAGATCACAGGTGAACATATAAATCACTGGTAAATGTTTCCTTTGGTAGCTCTGTGGAATGAGGATACAGCTCTTGCATCAACAGAGCAGTCGCCTGCTGCAGTATCAGTTGAATTTTCATGGGTTTAGCCTCAGGAGTCCACTGTGTGTGAGCAGAGTAGAAATGCATCACACCTGCTGCTGTTTGCCTTTACTGTATTCTTCATATCAAGAAGTAGAGGGGATGATGTAAGCAATTTCCATGAAGATGAGAGAATTTTTCCATGGCTGGAATGTTTAAAAAAAGTATTAAATATGTCTCTTCTAGTTCTCCTAAGCACACACAAGAGCTGTACAAGGGGAAATAAACTATCAACCACTCTTGTAATTGAATGTTCTAATACACATTTTAATATATTGTAGTTCTTTGTAGTAGAGCTGTAAAAGAAAAGAATCAGATTTGAATTGATCCTCATATGTATATTTCTTAGAACAGTTATCTTTGATTAGATGCCTGTAGGTGAGCTGCTAGTTTTATTCGTAGTGCAGTGCAATAAGGTACTTGTACCTGATCCAGGTGAACAATCTTAGGGTCAATTTCTAAACTTTTTGCACACAAGACATCCAACATCTGCTTGCTGTGGCACGTTGGTAGCTTCAGAGTGGTTTTGTAACAAGCATTGATTCTAGGTGCTTTTCGAGTGCAGGGATTGTTTCTCAACAGGGAATTGCACAAGTATTGCCACAATTTTAGATTTAATCCTTTTTTGAGACTGTAGTTTAACTTCTGGAAAAAACTAAATTTGCTGGAAAGTACAGTTTAAGGTGGCAGTTGCTATGTTCACAAGTGGAAGGGTGGTTGCAAATTATACTCCAATTGGTGGGAGCATGATAGAAGTTTTTTAAACAGATCTGAGGTGAGGGAAAAAGTTCTGCAGTTGTCTTTTAACCACTTCAGTAAGCAGCAGGTAAATATCTGCTTAGAGCGTGCCTACTTCTGTTCATGATAGTAGACATTTAGTTGTGTGGAATAGGATTTAAAAACTTTTTTGTAATAACTGCAGTATGATACTGCACTTCTCACTAGCCATTACTCTAGCATGAGTAGTTAATTGTCTTCTCCTTTTTTCAGGCATTATTATTTACAGTTCTTCATCCTCAATGCTTAATTTTTGCCTCTTTCAGTCAATTGTATGTGCAATGCATTCTACTTTTGGTGAAAGCAGACCAAGTCTGTCCAGAGGATTCTCATGACATTTGAGTTGTGGCATATGTAATTGGAAGGCTATCCTGGGACTCTGCAGCACCTCTGAAAGAAGTCCAAAATTGAATGATGTATCTTAATAACTGCAAGCTTTTCCTTGAAAGCAAGTCAAGTAATTCATACGGAGCTAAGTGATAGCTTTTTCATTGGTTTATGTGGTTTGAATAGTAAAATGTGTTTAAAGATTAAGGTAGAAGAGAAAAAAAATCTTGGTTCACTTTGCCATTAATGCATTTCTTTCAGGTATTGCATCTGAATTTGGAGTGCGAGGCTATCCAACAATTAAGCTGTAAGTTGATCCTTCCTATTTAATTTCTATCAATGGTTTAATGACAAAAAAATTAAAAATAGCCCTGTTCATTTAGAAGTCTCAAACCCATGTAATGTATAGTCCAGTACAATGTCATGTTAAATAAAGACACAATGATTTTGAGTACTTTTTACTGTGGAGATACTGGGTATTTTAGCAGGTTATTGTTTAAACAAACAGTATTCCCAGTAGGTGATAATAAATTTTGTCAAGTTAGTTTTCTCAAAAAAGGAAGCAGAGATGTTCAGCTTGATAATCTTTAAGGATGAAAATTTTCATGCCATATGGAGGTATTAAAAATTCCTCTGAATTTCCAAAATCTCTGCAGATTCTGTGGAGTTGCGTTATCAAAGAAGGCCTATTAAAATTAGTAAAACTTACTTGACTACTTTGCTAATGCAAGCGTGCTACAGCCCTCTCAGCAGAATACCATAAGCTGACCAACATTTCACTGAAGCTTAATTCATAAATTTGAAAGGTTTTGAAGATTATTTGATACATTTCAGCTATTAAAAATACATTAAAGAAGTTTAAATGCTTTCTTTTTACAAGGACTAATCCCTGAGTAGTATAAGTGTTGAGTGTGTTGCGTTTGGTTTGAGTGTGGGGTGTTTTGTCATTTTAGGGACCATTTAAATATGATCATAAACAAGTATTTTAAATTATGTGTATGCTTACAAAGTAAATGACCACTGTGCACTAGAAAAAAGAATTGTAAAAGAATTTTAAGTATTTCAACAAGTCAGTAAATCAGATACTGTGTAAATAAGCTTTTATTCCATAATTCCATTGTATTGCATTATTTTTATATTTTGCTGACCACTTCTTTGGCTTATCAGTTGCTGAAAGGTGACATGTAAAGATTGAGAAATCTTATATGTATGAATGTAGTTTAGGTGATTGCTTTTCTGTTCTTTTTTTGTTTTCTATTTATCTAGCTTGAAAGGTGACTTGGCATACAACTACAGAGGACCTAGAACCAAAGATGATATAATTGAATTTGCTAATAGAGTGGCAGGGTAGGTATAGTCTTCTCAGAGACTGACTCTGCTGATTCAAACTTACGTGGGAATTCGAGGTGGGCCAAGACTTATTTAAAAAGAACAAGATACTGAAGTCAGCAACTGTGTGTACTATGTGTGTGGCTGCATGGGAGACTGGCATGGGAGTTAAGATTATTTATTTCTAAGGCCACATTTCCTGACTGTTGTGCTTACATTCAGAATTTTCTCTCTCAAATTACGGAGACCTTATTGTGGCCTTCCACTGTATAAAGACATCTTCTAAGAAGTACAGAGAGTTTTTATCAAAGTCTGTTCGAGGTAAGGGGAAATGGTTTTAAACAGAAAGAGGATAGGTTTAGAAAAAATATTAGAAATAAATTCTCTACTGTGAGGGTGATAAGATACTGGAACCGGTTGCCCAGAGAAGTTTGGATGCCACATCTCTGGAAGTGTTCAAGGCCAGCTTGGGTGGGGCTCTGAGGAATCTGATCTGGTGAAAAATGTCCCTGCTCATGGTGGTAGGGTTAGACCAGATGATCTTTGAGGTCCCTTCCAGTATAGCCCAGTGGCCAGTAAAAGGTATACATGTTTACATCATAGCAGCATTTTGTAGTAAGGTCTGAATTTCATATTTGTGTGCAATTTGATCAACATAACATGTTATTTGGTGGGGGGTGGGGGACGGTGGGAATGTTCTTTTTTTTCTTTTAGTATAAAATAATAACTTGAAAAACTAAATTAATTCACATTCTGGAATTTATTTTTTGAAAAACAGCACAAAAAACTGTTCAGCATTTTCTTGTGAAATTTTATTTGTTTGGGTTTTGGAGGGTGCACAAACTGAGATTTTTCTATGTCTTTGTTTCCTTTTCCAGGCCTCTCATCAGGCCACTTCCTAGCCAGCATATGTTTGAGCATGTACAAAAGAGACATCGTGTACTTTTTGTATATGTTGGTGGTGAATCTCCTTTAAAGGTTTGAAGCTTGACTAAGTAAAGTTACTTATTTTGGCTATTTAGGGAGTAATTTTTAAAATCTTTCAAAAGATTGAAGTGCATGCTTGTAACAAGTTCTTGGGGTTTTTTACATTTATTAAAGTGCTTTTACAATCTTAGGCTATAAATATGTTTTCAAGGTACTCTTTAAGGATAAGGTATGTGACAAAGCTTTTTGATGCATACTGAAAGTTCAGAAATTAAAAAAACATTGTTTGTATTTTTTCAGGAAAAATACATTGAGGTTGCTTCAGAACTAATAGTTTATACATACTTTTTTTCTGCCTCAGAAGATGTGCTGCCTGAGGTAAGCTGTTTCCATTTCTACTGCTTCCCCAGAAATGGCATTTTTCTCGTCATCTATGTAATTTTGCGGTTTCAATGGCACAGAGGTGGCTCCTTACAGTATATTTGGCTTTGGTAGATATCTAAATAATTACACTGAAACATGTAATGTTTGAGTCTATGTGGGGAAAGAATACAACCCAAATTTCGGTCTGTCATTGCTTTGTTTTGGCCAAATTACTTGTTCAGTCACATTAATAAAATTAATTAGAGAATGAGCAGAACTCAATGTGGGCCACACAACTTGTTCAAGAAAGTAGATACTTGGATTTTTAGCAAGTGCAAAACTCCTGTTGCTCCCAACAGTCCTTTCACCAAACACTCTTTAAGCATTAGGGGGTTTGTAGCATGAATTGCTACTGGTACCCTAGTAATCAGAAGTAAGTGAAGAGGTGAGTTATTTTCATCTTGTGCCATACAGCTGATCAACACATTAATCTGCTTGGGAATCAACCAATCCAGACCACTGGCTGCAGAATTCTCTTGTTACTTTTTTTAAGGATTCTGTGACAAGGAAATTATTTACAGTTCATCACAAGGGTGGAAAGAATTGATGTTTCTGTAGCTAGTCTAACCATTTTCTTGTAGCAAAATTAAGACCTTTTCATTTATTGTTATCTCCAAGTGGGACCTAAGTCTGCAATATGCCGACAAACATGTGACTTTGAAGTTAGTTGGTGATTAATGGGGTGAGAACTAGCATAATTTGGTTTGTTGTTTTGTGGGTTTTTTTTAGGCAGCTGGATTTTATGACACCATAAGTAGAACTGGCCTCATTATAAGTCGTGTATTGTTAGTTCTCCAGAAGCTTTGTATTGAAAACTACCTTAATTTAAATATTGCTATTTGCACTTCAGCTCCAGCTGAGCAGAAAAGTACTGTTCAGTTGTGCAGTGGAAAGAGTAAAAAAGTGTGGAAGTCTTTGAGGTTCTGTGAGCTTTTTTTTCTCACAGAAGGTAATTTTCACACCAGTGTCATTTAAGCTGAAGTAGTGATGGTATTTCAGTATTCTATGGAGAGAAGCAAAAATGTTCAGCAATTTCTGGTTGTGAGTTGTAATGAGCCTTTGCATTACAGGATTCACTGTTAGGCTTTGTTTCATCACCTTAGGTAATATTATTCCAAGCTTTAGGCATCTTTCGCAACCTTTAAGCTGTACACTGATTGATTTGTCCTTCAAAGATGATAAATTATGTTTTGGGCAAGTAAGAGAACAAAGCATCATTTGGGACTACCTTCTTGCTTGTTCATATCATCAGCTATTATATTATAAATTACTGCTTTTACAAGAAAGTTAATGCAGAATGACAGAAGGCATGTAATTTGGAAATGTTGCTGTCGTTTACCTTTCCAAAACATGGGTAAATCAGTCAATTCAAATGACATGATCAAAACTTAGCTTATGATGCAGTTCTTTCTTAACCACAAATGCTGTTTAAAATTTTAGCTTAGAATGCTAGCAAGCTGTAAGAAGTAGATGCAGTATTCTTTCTGTAGCAGTTCACTAAAAACATGAGCTGACTAAAATTATTTTGAGTTGTAAGAAGAAAGGTTCTACAGCTTGTTTTTAGTATGGTGCTGACCATCTTAAATATCATGTCTAGCATGGTAATACAGGCTTTTGTTAGTTGTCAAAATTAGGTCTGTTAGCAGCCCTGTGTGCTGAAGCTGTTGCTTTATATTCCCATCAGTCTGAAGCACAGGAAATAGCCCAGATTTAGTGGCACAAGTTACCAGTGCTACTATTTTACTCTGCAAAATTGAGTATCCATTTAGTAGAAGTACCAGTATGACAGGTATGCTGACAACAACACAAATTGGGAACTTAGAGCTTGATTGATAAAACCCTCAAGTTACAATTTCCTGTCTAAAGCCCATGTCCAATCCATAAACTATTCTTCATGCTACTGCAGATACCAGTAAAAATCACATTTCTTTTACACTTTGTGAGAGCCACCTCTCAAAAATAGATTTATGTTGCGTTGCTTTTAATATGCAGAAGCTGATAAATTTATCTTAGTAGACAGAAAGTATTTAGGTGTCCTTAGAGATTTTCCCATGAACTACATTTATGTGTTTCCAGATGTTTTTTTTTTTGTTTAAAAATCTTTTAATCTTCCATGGATTAATTGAAATCTGATTCTTTCAGTATGTGACATTGCCTGAATTGCCTGCTGTTATGGTCTTCAAAGATGGAACTTACTTTGTTTATGATGGTAAGTAAAAGTGGACATTACTTTAAGATAAGATATTTTAAGCATATATGGAGAAACTGGAGGAGTAGGGTTTTTTAAAGGGTATGTAGGGATGCTTGGAAATTCCCTTGTTTTACGATAAATAGCAGCTCCTTCATGAAGGAAAAGAGAAAAAAATTATTTGTTCTTCCACAACAAAATGCAAGGAATTTGTTTTAGCAATACTGAAGTAGAAGTGGTGATGTTTGCTTTGTGTTTTCAGTAAGATGTAGCTTCCAATATTATGGTTTTGCCTGCATTAATGTACTTAGAAAAGTTACTTCTTCCCTCACTGTACAAATTCACTGTACCTATGGACGGACTACTTTACCCGGCTTGTTCAGTGTGTAAGCTGTAGAACAACCACCTGAAACGAGTAGTGTTTTATAACACTGCTGTTTCTGCATTGTACATGTGCAGTACATAAGGCCAATACACTTGCCACTGCTGTAAAAGTGTATATCTGTATATGTGTGTGCACATCCATATAGAAGTATTATATGGTACTCAGACTGTACTGGAAGGCATGTTAGAAGCACGTGCACATACTCATAGTTACTTTGCATCGCCTGGGCTTGTAAGCACACCATCTACTCTTGATTTAGATTGTTTCAAATGCAAGTTTTCACTTTAAGTTGAAAACATACCATTCAGAAGATTATTCTGCAGGTTTAATTTCTTAGGATAAGTAGTATTCTTTTTGACTGTGTAGAATGGATGTACTTGTCTTCCTCTTCAGTTTGTTGCCTCCAGATAAAAATTCACTCTACAGCCTCTGTGATTTGCATTTTTTTGGATGTTTTTTAGCAATTTGGGAGAAGGAAAACTTGTCAGAGAAAAACTTATTTTGCTGTATAGCCTGCTTGCTTTTTCCACACCTAAAACAAATGCCAAAATTGTAATAATTCAGGCTTTAAATTTATGTTGTAAAACATTTACTTTTTCATAATGTGCTGGAAACATTATTGGAAGTCAAACAAATCATGAAAATGCAGTTTAAGAGACTGAATAAAGGTTTATGTGCAATTGTTATGACTGGCAGAAATTTGAAGAGCTCTCTATGAGGAAGAAGTTAAAGCAAAATGCACTTCAGTGCTCTCACTTTGTCTGGTGTTTTGGTTTGGGTTTTTTCCTTTTCTTTAGTGGAGGAAATGGATGTAGATACATGGGATTCATTATGCTTGGAATTGCTTGCTACTACCTTACAGCAGATAATTATTATCTGATATTATTGATACTTCAGTCTATACAATAGGCTTTAAGACAAATAATTTATTGTGCATTTATTCTCATAAAATGCAGCATGTATATATATGTCTTTTTTACTTGTATTTTAGATCTAATTGATGGTATATATTAGAATTTAATTCTTAATAGATTAAGACATCGAGCATCTTAAACTAACCTTCAGTATAACTCTCAGTCATACATGATTATTTGTTCATTTACCTTCACAGTACTGTTTAATGCATCTGCTTTTTCTTGATCTTTGTTTCATTTAAGGACTCTCACAAATAATTACTTTCTGTATTTTTAGATCTCTACTTTTTTTGAAACTTGATGAGTTATGTACACACACCCCTTTAAAAGCAGGGTTTGAACCTGTTCCTTTCTGCACTGGGTCACAGCTGCTAATATAGCATTGTTTATCCTTGATTTGGAAAATAATATAATCAAATCAACTTTTCATGCTTTTCTATAATACACTTTTTATTCAACAATTGAAAATAGCTTTGGAAATTTTAAAATTTAAAATGCCCATAAAAGTGTCATAATTTGTCTAAGAAGATTAAAAGAAAAAAGGAGAAAAACTAGAGGTTGTCTCAGTAGTACTGAAATAGTAAATCTGATGGCCCACCTCTTAAAATAATGTTTTTGGTTTTGTTTGTTTTTTTTTTTTTTTAATGTCAGAGTATGAAGATGGTGATTTGTCATCCTGGGTAAACAGAGAAAGATTTCAAGGTTACCTTCACGTAGATGGCTTTACACTTTATGAACTTGGAGATACAGGTGAGAAGATGCTACTGCTAAACTCTTTGACATTGTGTGCTAAACAGTAAGAAAAATTAAAAGAGTTACAAGAATATGTTTTATAATTTCAGAAATTAATTAATATCAGGTTAGCTGATAGTGGCAGTATTTTGTTGGACTGACCTGTGACTAGAATTTTCAAGCACAGTCTACACTAGTCAATTCCTCAAAACATAATAGTGTGTCTAATCCTGTGGTAGTCACAAAAATTAGTAGGACTTTAAAATTAATTTAAGAGTGCCTTACATTTTGCATAAGTTGCATATTACCTCTTGGAATGCATGCAGGGAATTTTAAAACTAGATTTAGAAGTATGAAATATGGATTGTCCAGGTATCTTACATCTAGTGGGTTTAGATATCTTTGAAATAGATGTGGCAAGAAAGGGACAGGAGCGTGCATTGAAGTGGACTTGTCCCAGAAAACTTCTGCTTTTCTTTAGCAAAAGTTCTGGAGGCCAAACGAAAATTTTGCAGCCAGGTGACCGCTGAAAAATGCAAATGACTTGTACTGCTCTTAAGGTATATACATACTCTTAGGTACTAAGAGTATGTACTAGGATATCTTATAAACTATATTCCCTTTCAAAATACTTACATTCAATCAACACTGAGTTCTTTCAGGCTTTAAAAAATATGAAGCATCTATGTTCTTACATGTTTATGAAGCTAATATTGTTACATTTTGAATGGTTATTTACAGAAATGCTTTTGCAAGTTGTTTAAATGTAGCATATTTTTCCTGTTACATTTTTGACTAACAATTCCTCAAAAAAAAAAAAAAAAAAAAAAAACAAACCCAAAAAACCCCAAAACTTTATTAATACACTGGAGAAACCATCATTTACTTTAAAGAGCTTTATGTATTAATGCATAGTACCTGGAATTTATTTACATCCTTTTTTATAGTCTAAAAGGTCATTAGCTCTCTACTAGTGTATTTATTAGGTAGTGTCTTAGGGTGGAAAGAAATGAGGAAAAAGTGAGAATTGATGTATGCAAGAAGCGGGATGGGAAGAAGCTATTGCTATTTCACAGGAAAGTATGGGAATGAATCATAGATGTTCCCCTTAAAACCCTTCAGTATTACTTGAACAAGAGTGACTTTTTATTTTTGAGGGGAATGCTTACTGTGGCATGGTGATAGGTAGGAACTGAGCAATTGGTTGGCTTGGTGGGGAGGATTTCAAGTGAATTGTGGCGTCTTGAGAGAACTGAAAAATCAGCCTTCTGAAGCCTTGGGTTAATCTGGTTGATGACTGTGCTGTTAACAGATCTGCTTTCCTAACTGCAGGTGCTTAATCTGGAAAAACATGGCCAGCTTTATAAACATACTTTTATCTGATTGACCGTAGCACTCTTTGGGTTTGGAGGTTTTTTTGATTTTAATCAGAAAAACTTCAAAAAGTAAATCTTGAAGAGGTCGGTATATTCTGATGTTGACCTTTAGGCTCCTCTGACAGAGGTCTATGAGCTAAATTGTGTTTCTGATACAATGAATTCTGGGTTCTGCCAGTAAATTTTCCAGGTGTTTTGTTTTCATAATGCTCACAACAGTATGAAAAATAGTTGTTATTAAATCCATACAATAGTGATTTAATCACTTACAATCAGTTTGTAATTGCTGCTATATAATGCAGGTCTCTATAGCCTCATATTTAGGTGTATGTATAGACACAGGTTGAGTAGGAAATTAATTTTTATCTGTGCTTTCTCCCTTTTAACTTCTTTCTATAATAGGCTTTTCATAAAATGTTAGTGGTGTGGCATTGGGCTCCATATTAATTTATTTTCAGTAGCTTCAAGACCACAGCTTGGTCAGCTTGAAGAGGCTCTTTGGCTGTGAGTCTGGTTTATACTTAAAAAATAATTCTTGTGCCTGGAGAGTACCTGATCTTCTAAGTTGACATATTTCCCATTGGAGAATGTGTGTTTCTTTTTAAATGGTTTCAAGAATTTTATTCCTTATTTTAGGAAAACTTGTGGCTATTGCAGTCATTGATGATAAAAACTCTTCAGTGGAACATACCAGGTACAGAATTGAGTATTGGTGACACTATGGGAGAAATGTGCTGGTATAACATAGGGAAGTTTTGAAGTTTCTTAAATATTGAGAAATATAAGTTGAGTGGGTTTAACTTGTGAATGTTCTTTAATTTATGACTTAGTGCACTAACTTTACTTAATTTATGGCTCGGTTGAAGCACATGTGAGTTCACTGAGATGGTGGGAGTTCCTGTAGCACTCTTCTGCCATTTGTTAATGAGATCGCAGGAGCAAATGCTGATCTCATAGCTTTTAAAAGCTAATGTGTCACCTTTTAAACAAAGAAAAAAATGCTTGAGTTCAGATGACTTTGAGATTAACTCAGTGAGTTTAAACAAATGACTGTACTTCACTTCCCTCTCATTGAAAATTAAGCTAGCGATGCTTATATATCATTTGTCTGTGGAACTTTAAACAGCGGATGTTTATGCTGGGGTTGGAGTTTGCTGAAGAGGCTGAGAGGAGCAAGACCTTCCCTTGTCTCTTTCTGGTTGCATATGCAGACTAAAAAAATACTGTTCAATTACTGTGTATGCTATTTTCAACCTTTAGGAGCTAAGCAAGATGAACAAGGTTTTTTTTTAATAGTCCTTGTTGCTGATGAGGTACAAATTGCTGCTTACTGGGGAAATCTCAATATTTACTGTTTGTATTTAGAAGGGGTTTATCCTGGATATCCATGCAATTTTTTTCCTTTCAGATTAAAGTCTATTATTCAGGAAGTTGCCAGAGATTATCGGGATCACTTTCACAGGTAGACACACATGGGACTCTGATGTTTTAATTGGACTTCTGCATTAATCTTTCTAAGACAGCAGTTGCTTTTTTTTCCTATGAGAAAAATGTTACAGTGTGTGCTTTTTTATTTTTATACTGATATTTAATAAGACCATTTCATTAACTGACTGTCTTTCATAATGCTGTGTTCTAGATGATCACTTTTTTTGAATTACATTTCTGAGTGTGTGCTCTCATTTTCAATTATAGGAAAAATATTTAATGAAGAACTTCTGCTGAAACCCACTATTGTGTTTTCTTTTTCATAATTTTATTTTTAACTGTTTCTCTTTCAGGGATTTCCAGTTTGGCCACATGGATGGAAATGATTACATTAATAGTTTACTAATGGAGTAAGTAAATTCTTATTTGAATGCTCTTTCTTCGGTTGTATTTGTTACCAAATGTATTTAATTTAAAATAATCTTACAAAAATTCTTGGCTTTCATGACTTAAGAAAAAACATTGTCATCAGAATTCAGCCTGTAGCACAGTATCAATTACTTGTTAAATTAAACTGTATAAATATATAATTTAATGTTAGATGTTTGGCTTACTGATAATGCTGATTGACAAAGCTTATCTTTTAGATCTACTTTGTTAAATTACTGTTAGAGTTGTGAGACTTTAATTCTTGATGTATTTTTATGATGTGCATAGAAAGGCATTTCAGCAGAGAAACATAGAATGCATGGAAGATGCTGTCTGCACTTGTTATGTACATGGTATATTTTGATATATATAAGTGGTTTAACAAGATGCTTGACAGTTGCCCTTACTATGATCCTTTTCTAAAAAATGCATAATTAGAGAGTTGAGTTGCTTGCCATTTGTTGTTAAAGACTTCTCCTCTGGCCTTTGGAGGTCTGAAAGAAGGGAAAGCCAGGAGTCAATATTATAAATCTGTAATTTTTCCAGATCCATTTCTTAGGGATCAAAATATTAATTAAACATGTCTTCATGCCCCTAAAAATTCTAGGAGTTTTATATGGACCCAAAAGCACAAGGTTTGTATTTTTGTAGAATGTAGATTAACACCTGATATAAAACCAACTGTCTCTCTGTTGAAATTTATTTGATTGAACTAGTGCCTTATAATTGCCTAAAGTGAGACCTTCCTCACTTGCTTAATTGCTTCTCAGGTGCAGGCTTTTATATCTGCTGAGCTCTTTCATCCTGTTTTATCTGTCAGAAAAGGTTTTTTTTGTTTGTTTGTTTGTTTGTTTTTTGATTTTGGGCAAGTAGGGAAGTTATTTTGCTGCTTTAACAATGTTATTCCCTTCTACTCTGCTGAGTACCAGCACGGATATGCATAGAAGTAGGAGAGGGAGATGAGATACCTGGGAGGAAGGAAATGAAGGGAAATAAGATAGAACAGCCACTACTGCTGGAGTGGTAGTGATCTAGTGGCAAGGTCTGTTCAGCTGGTTTGTTTAGCTGAATCTGCAAAATGCCCCTGATTTTATTATTTATAGTATATGGAAAGTTCTGGTTCAAGTACTCATCAGCGTTTAATTATTTTCTAAACCCAGTGTATACCTTTCAAGCATGAGTAGGAATTTGCAAAAGAATGCAGCAAATTATGTTCAAAGTAGTGACTGTTCATGTGGCTGCATGAATAATTGGAGTTTTAAAAAAACGTATTGCAACTGCTTCAGTTTGTCACCAGGTGGCAGCAAGTAGAAATAGAAAAATCTGAAATGACAAATGTGTCACAAAACACTTTTTAATGTGCTAGATGCACACAGAAACAAATTCTGTTTCCTGTACAAAGGACAAAATATTGTATGATTTCTGGGGCTAGAATAAGACCTTGACAAAAGTACATTTATTAACTTGACTGTAACTCCATTACTAGACATTACAATTCTTCTGTCTTTTCAGCTGTATATGAACATGCTTATGTTGGATTAAAATGGTACATTTAAAACCAGGCACAAAAGAAGAAATCAGAATATTTTGAATTTTAATTAAAATACATAATTTTACCTAAAATTTTACTTTAAAATGCTTATCAGTGTTTTACTGGAAGCAAAAATACAGCTTTTTATAAGCTAAGGTGTATAAGATCACTCTCAGCTATAGTGTATGTAGAACTCTCCTCTGCTCTTGAAAGTAACACATTTAATGTGCTTTTGTGAACTTTAATATAGCATAAAGAATCTGTATGAGGAGGTTACCTTTCTGCTGCTCTACAACCAATTCCAAGAACATCAGTTACCAGACTGTTAAATGCAACAGAAACACAGCATCTAATTAATAAAACATGGTCTGTTTTGCTGGAAGGACATAATTTGGCAGGAATTAGGAATTTGTTACCAGGTGCTTGCAAAAACAGTGACTTAGTTTGAGTGCCTTTTACTTAGATTTCTTCTTTGTCCCTAATAAGAAAAGAAAAAAATTTCAAGGGGAAATGTTATGTTTATTGACTCTTAGGTGACATGTTGCCTTAGTGTACAAAGTTGTGTTATTTGGTTGTTTATGCTAAAGTTCCATTTAAAGGATGGCATTATTTTATTATCCCTGTAGTTACCCTTAGGATTTTTAAGGTGTCACTATGCTTTCAGCTTCAGTACTGGGAAGAGAGTCTTCACCTTAAATCTTTAAGTATTCAGCTTTCTGGAAGGTCAGAAAATCGTCATATATTATTAAACTATTTCACTTTTATGTTTGCATATGAATTAAAATCAAAACCAAAAGCCCCACCTAAAATGTGAGAGAAAATTTAGCATAATTTGAGTGACTCCAAAGAAAAATGGGCATCTTGAGTAAATAACTATTCTTTTCATTAAATAATTTACTATTAATTGATAGCCAAAGATAAGACTAAAATCATAATCAATTTTTCATGTATTACAAAAGTACATGGATAGGACGCATTAGACAAGGGTGAAAACATAGAAAAGCAAGGTTTGTATTGCTTCTGCTGTGAAGGAAGTACTTGAATTCATTACTGACAGAACTGTAGAAAATTGTTAAAGATTGTGGGAGATTTTAAACTTTTTAAATATATTTAAATCTTCCTTTTTGAACAATGTACTTTTTGGTATTAAAATTCCTTAAATGTGCTCTTATTTTGAATTTAGTGCTACAGCAAACAGAAGATTAAACTGCTTTGTGTCCAGAGTTAATTTCTAACTTTTTTTTCTTTCTGGTTATGATGTATATGTACATGAACATGAAGGTTAACTGCTGAGTAATAATTCTTTGAAAACTGTTCCTCATAAACCATATCTAAAAGAGCTGTAGAAAAGATGTGCTTGGCATGGTTTGTTATTTTGACTTGACCAGCAGAGATTGATAAAGGTGATCAGTTAGACAATGGTTGTGTGGGATTATATTTTTGAGTTACACTTCTGCCTTCATGTACTTAAATACTTAATGCATTTAGTATACAAGGCTGCTATTTGGCAGCTCTTACTATTTGGAAAGTCATAACTGATTTGCAGTTGCTCTGGGTATGTAAAATGCTGTAAGCTTCAATAGTGTCACTGACACAGATGTGAAGGAATATAATATTAATGAGAAATGTGCCCATACCATTCATGTCCATACCATACCATGCACATACCTTTTCTTTTGCTTTCTTGTTTCTGAAGAATTACTATGAAGAGCTCACATGAAGTGAAGATCAATATATTCCCTATTGAAATAACATAGGGATTACTTAAATTGGAATATTTTAAATGGTAATTCTTTAAATATATAAACTGTCTGTTTTATGTTTCCAGTGACTTGACAATCCCTACTATTGTTGTATTGAATACCTCCAATCAGCAGTATTTTCTACCAGATAGGCACATTGAGAGCACAGAAGACATGGTTCAATTTATTAACAATATCCTGGATGGTACAGCTGAAGTAAGTATTCATAGTAGCTTGGAATATATTGGTTAGTATTTATTTCCGTAGATGCTAAAGTAAGGAAAAAAATTGGTTACTCTGATAGTTATGTGTGTGCTTAATATTCCTGTCCTGTCTTACTGTCTTGGATGCTGTCACTGAATATGTGGTTGTAAATTCTGGAGTCATGCTGTTGCATGTTGTACAAAGCAAGCTTTCTTCCGTTAATAGTATAATGGTAGACAGCTTCTTTTGATGTTCCTTTTACTGGTGCAGTTGTAAATGGAGCGCTTTTTATTCATCTCCTAGTTTGCATTTGATGAATTTGTTTAAATTTTTGAATGATAGTGTGTAATTGAACTGCACCCTTCCTTTTGGGTGGAAAATTAATAAATCAAATAGCTGGAGGAATTAGAACTTCAGAGTCAAAAAAACAGTATTATACTTGTTTTGAATGATAGAAATGGACACAAGCTTACTCCTCTGTGCTCTAAAAGAGAGCTGTCTTTTGTTAAAACAGAAAAGTTAATCGGAATTGGTTTCTTGGATATTTTTTGAGTGTTTATTCCCTCAGTGTACTGTAAGTTGAACAGAAAGCTGTGTTGTGTGGATGAGGAAAGAGGCCATGGAGCAGAACTTTTGTTTGTGCTTCTGGGGAAATAAGGCTTTGCCACGAAGGGGAGCTGATAGCTAATAGTATGGCTGCCTCCTGGGAGAAGCCTGGCTTTGGTTTAAGCCCCGATTTCCTGTATATTGAGTGCTTCCTGTGTTAGCTGAATCTCACTTTGCTTTGCAGCAGCAGTTTTAGGTCATTGCCTGGTAATGGCAAATAATGCAGAAGATATTTGTCATATGGGGTTTATTTAATCTGCCTGGTTGATGTAGAACACGATACAGGTGGATTTATGTGCTGTTCAGGACTTTACTGGCCATGCTTTCCATTGTAGTGTGAGGGGTACTGCTATAACTTGGTGGTTCTTTGTTCTTGAGTTCTCACTTTTTTAATGGTTTTTAAATGCATTGAGTTATCAACATCAATTAGACTCTAATTTTATGTATCTTTCTGGTTGAAACAGCAAATGTAATTGCTTTCTGCCTTTTTTTTTTTTTTTTTTTTTTTTTTTTTTTTTTTTTTTTTTTTTTTTTTTTTTTCTTGGAGAAAGATAATTTGTGATGCTTCATGTTTGTTGCCATAGTGTCACTTAGGTCTTTATATCTTTTGTTTGCAGTATCGCAGCTAGAGTGATTAAAGGTCAGTCTAAATTCACTTCTCGGTACAACACAAAAATACAGAATACGATTTCATTTAAGCTGTCTATGTGTAAGGTGTCTGTAGACATAAAATTGCACTACTTTGGCTGCATTCTCTGCCTGAGAAATTGTGCAGCTATTGAGGAATGAGAGTCTTCTAAGTATGCTGGTAAACAACTAACAGGATGCAGAGTTTCTGAACCACACAGAAATTTCTGAGAAGTCTTGGCTTTCCCCTTCGCTTCCTTGGGAAATGTTGGATTATTCACCTGGATGTTATTGTTACTTTTTAAGACTCTATAGGTAACTTTTTTGCAAGTCTGTCTCATTTTTGTGGACTTATTTTGCTATTTGAGGGGTTTTTGGTCAGATCATGTGCTGATGAGTTGATTTCCAAATATGAGTTTGTTTCTCTGGCTACTCAAGGAAGGTGAAAACTGGTCCTGTTCAGCAAACAAGACTGCCTTCTGGTTCGTGTAGTTATTTTGAACTTAGTTATTTGCTGAATTAGGGGGCAGTGTAGGTATAGTCTGTTATTGCTTGACACAGGTTTTATTTATTACACGTTCATATCTTCTCTTTGCTTAGTTCTTAGATGTTTCTAACTGTGCTGTTGTAATCCATAAGTGGATGTTCAACAGCTGCAGGAAAGTTCAGAAGAGCTCTGCAGTTTTACCATTGTTACCTCAGGACAGTTGCTAGATTTTGTTAGTGTTTCTTTATGGTAAGAGAGAGAGGGTCAGCCCATTGTCCAAGTTGGCACTGATTGTTTAAAACAATTGTGAGAGACTTTTTCATGAGACTACTAAATAATCTTTGTCCAAGCTTGGCAAGTTGGAGTGTCTGGGCATCATGAGATATAAGAATAATTACTTTTCATTTCCTTCTAAAGGGACTTAAGATTGCAAGGTCTGAAGAATGAACTTTTGGAATCATAACTGAAAAGTGTCAACAGTTTTGACATGGTTCCATTTGAAATTTCAGGCACAGGGTGGTGATGGACTTCTGCAGCGAATCAAGAGAATAATCTATGATGCCAAGTCTACTATAGTGGTAAGTTTTACTTTTCATTGAACTAGAGGGTGCCCTTGTCAATCAGGATACAAATATTTTCAGAGGGTTTTAAGATATTTTTAAAGGAGTTGTTGTTTTATATTGTATATATTGTATATATGTTATACGTATATGTATAGGTTTAAGCCAAAGGAACTTCTTGATTAATTTTTTTAATGATGTGTGAGATAAATATTCAACATATCTTAGTTTCTTCATTTTTATTGCTCTTCTGTATGCCTTACATTTATTTTAAGGGCTAGGACAGAGAGAAGTCAACAATTGTTCCTTGATGGTTTTGACATCCTTTCCTGAAACTGGTACCACTTCACTGTTCTGAGGAATGTTACATTTTTTGTTTAATTACTTATAGTATAAGCAGACTAAATACTACTCTTAATGTAGTTTAAAGCAAACATTTTTATTCTCTTTCTCATAAGTTAATTATGCTCAACAAAATTTTGTTGGAATGATGTACACAAATCATTTCTTCCTTTGTCCTACAGAAGCAAATAAACCTGTGCTGTGAATTTAAGTTGAAACTCGCTTGCTTCTAAGTGAATGTCCAAATTTCTGTGAAAGTAAAATGTTTAGCCACCAGTTTCTGAAACCATTAATCCTTCTTCCTGTGCCATTAAGATACTTCTCAACAGCAAACTCTCTAGAATTTTTCTGCAGACTAATTTTTGACAAGACACAAGAGGTGAAACTCTTTTCTTCCACAAAGTGGATTTTAATGCTCTTAGAATAATTGTTTCTAAAGCTTCAAAAAATGCATGGTATATGCAGTTGGCATGTAAACATTAACTGTCCCAATGCAATATTGTAATATTTGAACTTGTGTCATTTTTTATGAACTTATAGTAGAAATTGTTGTAGTTGAGGACTCCTTGCCATTTTTGCCGAAGAAGGCAAACATACAAGCCTTATAAAAAAACCCACAAAGCAACAACAATAATAAAACCCAAACCAAACAAGCAGAAAAATCAAAATAACACATCCATTAGGACAAGAGAACAGTCTTAAGTTGTGCCAGGGAAGGTTTAGGTTGGACATTATTCCTAATGACGTTGTTGACAGAAAGGGTGATTGGGCATTGGAATGGGCTGCCTAGGGATGTGATGGGGTTCACCATTCCTGGAGGTGTTTAGTAAAAGACTGGATGTGGCACATAGTGTTTTGCTCTTATTGGTGGTGTTATGTCATAGGTTGGACTTGATGATCTGAAAGGTCTTTTCCAACCTACTTGATTCTGTGATCCCTGTCAAAAACACTGATTTTCATTTTGGATGTTTTTTGAATAAATACACAGAGTGATAAGAGAGGTAATGCAGTAACTTTCTGTAATCACTGAAAGTGGTTTTTACTTTCTGTTTCAACAGTCTGTGTTCAAGAGTTCACCACTGCTGGGATGCTTTCTCTTTGGGTTACCCCTGGGGGTCATCAGCATCATGTGTTATGGAATCTGCACAGCTGATACAGAGGGAGAGGTATTTGAGCATGAGGGAGCTAAAAAAGAAAGTGGTGATCGAGAACTCACAGATGAAGGCAGTGAGGAAGAACAAGAGGAGGAAAAGAATGGAAAATACACAGAACTTTCAGATGGAGAGCTTAAACAGAAAGACATTATGGAAAAGAAAAAAGACTAACCTGTTTAGCCAGAGAATTCTCTAGAACTTCCAAATAGATTTATTTATTGGCAGTTGTCATTTATTGGTTATCTCCATGAAAGAGGATAATTTTATCTGCATAATGGTAGTTTTGACTTGCATGTATTCACATTTTCTCAGAAATTGATGGAAAAAAAATTGATGTTCTCTTAATTGTCCTTAGTAGATTAACAAAGAGCAGTTTAAACTGAAGAAATTTTCAGGTACAATTCTATACCATTTTTGTAAGAGTTTTGAATTGTTCATTTCCAGAACAGAGATAATGTTACTTGACCTTACTATATGTGATGAACTCCTACTAATATAGCCCAGCTATACACTGATTCATATAAAATTAAAGCTGAAAACAAGGAAAGAGCTGTAAAGTGTTTTAGGCCCAATAGCTAAAGACAACTTAAAAGTTTCCTAAGAAGTCACATGTTCTACCTGTTGCACATTATTAGGGGAAAAGAAAACCAAAACATCAAACTTTTCTATTTTCTCAAATTAAATGTAAATTTTGGGAATGGTGCCATGAAATAATTATTAGCAGTCAAGAATGTTTACTAGTACAGGATATGGGAATTATATACTAAGTGTTTATTAAAAATATTGGAAAATTATGTTAAAAACCTTTTAGAACATGATTGCCTGTTAATTACTTTTTGTGAGTGCTTGCACACCTAGAGTGCAAAAGATCTGCAAGATTTCTGAATCTGCAGCACAGCTTGATAAAGGAAGACGTCAATATGAACACCTTCTGACCATTTGTAGAACTCTCTGCCAAGCTTTTTGAATGGTGTATATTTATTTTACGATGTTTACTTGAGATTATTATATATCTTTGAGATAGGTAGTTTTGTTTGAGACTGTTGCCTACTCTGAAGGAGGGAGTTAATGGAGTTTAATATTAACATTGATAGAGATTGATCAGTACAAAGCATTTTTGTTACCTGTTTCATCATAAAAGCCACATTTAATACAAACCTGTGACTGCAAAAAGGACTTAATTTGTGTCCAGGGCTAAAATTCTCCAATGATAAGCTATGAAGCAGCCCGTGGCATCAATGTAATGGAAAGTACCACAAAAACAAAACTTGTATTTTTTTGCTTCAAACTATTCATGCTGGGTTTTTTCATTTTATTTGTCTTTTTTTTTTTTTAAGGGTATATAACTGTATAATACAAAATATTATGTCCTCCTTATAAGGCAGCTTGATCACATGAGAAATTGCTATGCTGTAGCACTAAATTAAGGAATTTTAAATAGTAACCATGAGTAAGCTTAAATAGACAAGTTCTGTGTTTGAGTAAATTTGATGATGCTGTGGAATCATAAGCAGGGAAATGTATTGCATTCTTTTCCCTGTGGGAAAGTAACTTGTTTCTTCTCTTTAAGTAGCTTGGATCTCTGACCTGAAAGATTTTGGTTATCAAACAGTATAAACAGCATGTAAAGAGATTAGGAAATTTTTTTGGAAAAATTCCATATCTGATTATGAATACAAACCTTTTCCTTTTTGAAGGAAAGATTATGAGGTCATAGAACACTAAGTAGCAGGTATCTGATACAGTTTTTTCCCCCTTGTTTTCTCTGTTTTCTTTCTATGAATTGCCTTTTAAAAATTTCTGTCATTATAGCCAGTTGTATATAGTGACTTGAGTTTTCTTGCTTTTTGTTGAGATTTTATTTTTTTGGTAGAACCTTTGAGAGGTGTAGATTCAGCATATACATGAGGAATAGGTGCTTAAAAATGTGTTTAGAAAGGGATAATGGTATTTTGCTCCTGAGCTGTTTATTGAAAAAAATTTAAAAATCACTTAATGAAAAACTTGTAAATTTCTTTGGACTTCTTCACAACTCAGTGCTGATAGTCAAAATATAGGACTGTTAAGACAGTAGTATGGTTTTTTTGTCTCTTTTCTTAAGATTTCAGTACAGATCAGTTGCATATTTAATGTTGGCTCAGGCTGGAAACCTGCAGCTTTTGACTTAATAAAAAATCCTGAAGTGGTCACTGGGGCCATGCTGTTCCTTCTCTGGAGTGTAAAGAAAAAAAAAACCAACTAAGTTCTGCTGCACTGCTAAGAACTGTTTCAACATGGAGCCTTCTTTTTTTGTGGTTATTTTTGTTCGTATTTATAATCCTAGTAGCTGGTTGACTTTCTGGGAAGTATTCTGAGATATGGACCTGAATAATGATAAATACTGTGGAAGAAACGGATCATACTGGGATCTGTTCAAACTGTAGCACTTAATAGCTAGAGTTAGGAGGAAAGCCTGTATGTCAGTCACTTCTGAACTCTAATATATATCAGATTTTTCAACAGAACTGTTGAAAATTAGACTTGAAATGTACTGCTGTTTTCATCAAATCCTTCCCCCAGATAAATTGAACAAGTCATGAGGAGAAAAAAGGGGGACAGGTCATATACTGTATGTCAGAAGTAATGTGAAATTAAAGTGTTTGATGTGGTCACTCAAGTAATCTAGAATGCTGTCTGAGGAGGGGCATTTTCTTTTTTTTCTTCAGTCTTTAAAAGGTTTCTTAAAGCAACTTCACTGTAATAACTTTGGATTCATAAAATAATGCTGCTTTTTTAAGTCAAGTGTAAACCTTTTGTTTTTCTGTAATAAAAAGGATTTTAAAGAGCCTGTTTCCTTTGGATTAATTTATAGTGTCAAGTTTAGATGTTACATGTTGTGTAGGAGGCTGTTTCCTGGGATATTTGTTATAAGTGTACTTTAGGCCGCCAGTCATGGCAGTACAGAAATGCAGCTGGTATTCTGCAGGATTTTGAAAATAGTCTCTAGAGGTAGGAGTTTATATTTTCTAGTCTGTGATTTAGTGAACACTCTAGCAATATAACACAAATTATTTTCCAAAAAAAGTTTAAAATGCCAGACCTGCAGGAGTTTCTGTAGCAAAGGGAGCCTGAGTCAGCCTGTCCTAGCTTACATTTCCTTCTGGAAGCACTTGAGTAGTCTTGGCACTTGGACGTACACAGTCTCATGCTGCTCCATTGGTTACCTGGGCTGTTTTAACAGCTCTTGTCCACACTGTGGTGCTCACTGCTTAAAGGATGGGAGGATGGCACTCCAGACATCTGATGTGATGAAGATGGCACAAAAGTGCTTAATTCTCATGAAGTACTTAAATAAAAAGTTCAGCTTACTCAGTTTTGGTCCAGAACTAATTTACCCTGTTTCTCTTTTGTCAGCACGTTTGGAGAAGCAATTGTGTTCGGAGGAGTGGGAGGGTGGAGAATTGTTCTGTTGACAACCAAAAGCTCAAGTCAGTGAAAAGGGTGCAAAACCAGAATGTATTTCCCTTAAGCTGTTGAAATCTCCTAAGACTACAGATATTTCAGGCTGTATTATCCCGTGTCAGACTGCTACTGTCTCTCAAATCTTCTTGGGGAGCAAAGCCACTTTCTGCAATTTTGTTCTCATCACTGAGCGTATCTCTAACAGATCGAATCACACCAAGCTGTGACACCTGATACTGCTGGAACCAACAAAGACAATTTTGACACTATTGTGCTGAATGCTTTGCTGGGCTCCTGGAAGGTATTCCTAAGCTGCCTAGGCAGTGTGCATGTTCCTGAAACAATTCTCCGATTTCTGAAATTTTAACCATTTTAAAGGATTACTGCAACTATCCTGTATACAGCTTACTGACATAAAGCACCATTTAGCAGCTGATGTGAGCTGTCCTAGTTGCTAGCAAACTTCCTTCTGCTTATATACTGAGGAATAGAAAAATGCAGGGATATCAAGGATATGGAGACTACAAATATTTTACATAAAGCATTTTTGAATGGAGAATTGTGGCTTTCAGCAATAAAACCTTTGAAAAGAGGCAAGGAAAACTAAGGTGATTACTAGTAAGAGGAATAAAATTTCTTTGTAGCTCAGTTGCATGGTTGGCGTAGTCTTCATCTGAGTTGATGACTGTGATGGCCAAAATAGTGGGTGATTTTAGGCTGTCTTGAGTTAAGAGATGGAAGCTTTGCTAAGCTCTGTGGCTGATACGTGAAGGGGATGAAAATGTGTAGACAGAAGTAATAGGAATGGGAGAAAGGAAGGGAGGAGGACCATATGTTTTTATACCAGTGTTTTGTGCTATGAGCTATGTTTAACAAACTCCCACTGTTATGCATGTAAATCCTTCCAAAAGAAATCTTCTATTCTTTACTTACTGTATAGAGAGCCTTTGGCTGTTAAATTTGCCTGCCATACAGCAAGTAACATTTCTACCAAGTCAAGGCTATTTGTGGAATTTGTGTTTATTTTTTGCTGTTTCTCCGCAGAAATGTACACCCCAGGTTACTCAAGATACTTTAATGGTCATCATTTGTTCAAAGCAAGACCCGAACCCCAACTCTCTTTTGTCTTAGGTTGCTACATCTCTACTTTAAAGGAATGACAATTTGTAGCATACTTAAATTTGTGCTAAGGTGGCAACTTCTAGTCTTAATGCTTTCAGGAACTCAAGACCTAATCAATAATGTAGGATGTGTATTTTCATCTTAAAAAACTGGCTTGGATTTTTCTAAATGAAAAAAAAAACGTATATTGCAATAGTGGCTGCAATTTTATTCACTTTACTTGAATAGTAAATGTTGACTCTTAATCTAAAATATGCTGTCCTGTATACACTTTGTCACAACACTAAGAGAAAACAAAAAGACTTTATGACTTCAGTACCTAAGTTTTTAATCCCCTACCAAAGTAATTATTTCTTTCTTTTGCCATTGAGTCATTTTCACTTTGAACTGACTGTAACTTTTCTGTTAATCTTCCCTTTTTTTTCTTAGCATGCTTTTATGAAAGCATTTGTTTATTGTGACAGCATCCTTTACTTAAAAAATTTAAATGCAGACTGGATGGCCACTGGGTAATTTTGTTCATTTCCTCTTTGCTTTTATAAAATATGTCTTTTTTGATCTTAACTTTGCATGTTGGGCCAGTTGAGCTGTTTCTTTTTAGTGCTTCTTGCAAGATGAGACAACTCATTAAACATATCCTGTTGTACTCAGATTGATATTATAAACTACTCAATAACATTTTCTGAAAGCAGACTGAAGTTGAAATAAAATAAAATCCCCATACAAATACTGCTATCAAAATATCAGACTGTTTTTGTGCGACATTTTTAGAGATTATTTTGTCAACAAACTTAAATCTTCAAGTCTCAGAATAGCTTTCTTGTCCCTGAACAGAAAATTTGGTAGAAATGGTGGCCGTATGGTAGACTGCATCTCAAAAGGGTGTAGATGGTCTGTATAGAAATATAAAATTTCTAGGAATGACATTCCAATGTGAAAATAAGATATCTTCTATGCATAAAGTGGAAGAAAGTTAAGGCTTCCTTCTTTTCAGTCCCTATGAAAATTAAATTTAAGGGTATTTCCTGCAGAAGATGGGAGAAATACTTGTTGGCCCAGACAAGCCCTTGCAAATGCATTAGTTGCTTCTAAGATGGAGGAAGAGATAAATTGCTGTCAGCAGATTTTACATGTAAAAGCTGTGTCTGGCTCCTGTGAACAAAATAATTGCAAATTATGCTGTGCCTACATGCAAAATTGTGCTTTATGCAAATAAATTGAGCTAAACCTTGAGATGGCATTGTTATGGTACATTTCTTCCCTTTTGCTTTCCCATATTTAAAAAATACTTTTTTTAAAAAATGAATGCACAAGGATTATATATTTTTAAGTTTTCATGGCTCATTTATGAAATCCCCAAATTCTTCAATTCCATCCAAAAAATGCTGTGGGTTACAAGACATGACTCAATATATTGTGGTGTTAAGATTTGTATGATACTACTGTGAGGTAAGATCAAAAGTGTTTTGGGAGTGGGTTGAAAAAGAGGTAATATTTTTTAAAAGGCAAATAAAGTATTATTCTCAGTTCTTTTGACAGAAATAGCAGAATATGAGAAATTCTTTTTGATCTTTAAGGAGCTGGAACCTTCTTGTATCACATTGTCATGATTAAAAATAGATTTCTTGCAGAGGAAGGGTAAGTAACACGATTTCTAGAACAGGATTTAAATGAAGATGTGAATCTGGAACATAGTGTATTTCTGTTTTTACACATTGCATGTGTGTTGTTACAGTTTAAGTGGTCTATCTTAGGAAAGCTGTCAGTGCATTAATGTGAATCTGTGTTGGGTTTTAGTTTCCAGAGAGCACCTGGAATTCAAGCATAATTCAGAAGCACAGGGTTCTTTCTATGGGCTGTAGCTGCCTCAGCTTCAGATGTCAGAAATCTAAATGCTAAGATACACTAAAAATAACACTTTGAGTTGCTCACTTAGCTTTGCAAAGTCTCAAGCCATATGAGGAAAATTAATCCAACTCAGGCATTGTGTGTTAGCTAATGGAGAGTGATTATCTGTGACTAAAACAAACTCAAGAAGAGAAGTTGCAAGCCTTCTTTTGGTTTCACAAATGGTGGTTATGAGGTGGGAGGCATTTTTCATCCTGACATCCTTAACTGTTATATCTAAAAGGTGTGATCTTGGCTAGAAATGTGCAGCAAGGCTCATAATGGAATGAAGTTTGCAATGAGAGCTAAAGGTACAGTGATCTTGAAGTAAGACTATTCCTCATGTTTAGCTGCAATGGAGGCTAGGAAAGAGTTGTAAAGTAAATGCATAATAAAATAACGAAGCTTGTAATATCCATGTTCAAATGATATGCTACTCTACCATGCCAGTCATCTTTAGTGTTAATAAGCCTGCAGTTGTGTCAGGATATGATGCACCTTGTTTGGTAAGAAAAAGGGAAGTTTCCATAGCACTGGCAGTTCTTTTCACTTCTTCCCTTTGGAAGAAAGAATACCTGCATGCTGACCCTTGGTGTGAATTAGTGCTGCTGATCTCCAAGCCAGCTGCTTTTCTCACACCGTTTCCCAGGAGCAGGAGCTTGACTACACAAAGCAGCATCTCCGGTGAGCTCCAGCTTTGGTAGCCTGTGCCACACACGTGTGGGTTGCCCCATGGTGGTTTTCAGAAATTGAACAGGAGCCAGAAAAGTGATGGTGGCAGAGACTTTAGGAACCCCAGCTTTGACACCCAGGATATGTGCTGCTGTGGACAGCTTTAATGATCATCTGAAGGCACAGGGGAAAGAGCGCTCTAAACACTTCAAAAAAGTCATTGCATTGCTGTGATGTTGTATCATAAGGTGAGGAAGAATACATGAGGTGCAGAAGTGAGCAGACACAAAAGCCTGTGGGACATTTCCTCTGCTCAGGCCCAGGCATGCTTGTTTGAAGCTGGGACAAGGCCACTCTGTTTTGGGGACAGCAAGTTCATGATCATAGAGGTTGGTCTGTGCCTGTTGGTCCTTGGGCAGTGACTTTGCCCTGTCATCTTTCAATTAGAGTGTAGACATGCCATGGAGCATTAAGTTCAGTTTCTGGCCATCTTCCTTTGACATGAAGTGCAGTTTTAAGTGAGTTACTTAGGCCATAGTTTCATTATACTGCAACTTTAATGACAGTGCTGGCTTAAGGAGTTTCTATCCTCATACCTTTGTAGACTGCCCTTCAAATTATGGCCAGGCAAGCTATTGGAAAAACAGTGCTGTGAGTAGAGCAATGAACTGATCCAGGTGAATACAAATCCTTGGACAGAACACT